AATGTGAGAAAATCCCTACTGACATTAGAAAAATTACCGCACAGTACATTTTCCATTTAGTACTTAACCTATGGTCAACATCTAACCTTGTTCACTCAGAGTATGAATGTATAGAGGCTCTTTGAAGCACAACCATGTTAAACACATAAATAGTATTCTTGTCATACACAAAAAGCACAAGATGTCTACTCTTGGCAGGGTGGCATAATGAGAACATTATACTGTAGCTCATAAGAACATTCACAAACCAGAGAAGGCCATCTAGCCAGTTGGGTCATTAGTAGTTGATTGATTTAAAAGGGCAAATTGGGAACTTCAAATATTTTTTTTACGGGTAATATATTTCAGGAACCTTCCACACAATTAATGATCAGGACAGGGATGGGATTAAAACGGAGAGTGAAATGGTAATACAAAAAGAGGAATCTGAATTATTGATTGTCATGGATTACATTAGATTGCCTTTAGCCCTCAGGTGGATGGATATTCTACTCTACATCCGTATCGTCCGTACTGACAGCACTCCTGTAAAACCGAGAGACTGAATTTCCACATTGCCTTCCAGCTTTTCTAGTTACAGGACTGTGATTCTACATAGCGCCTTTGTTGCTACTGGTATGCATTTCACCAGGAGACAAATAGCTGCAATGCTTCACTCGACTTTTAAAAGGCCACTTGTTTGAATCCTGCACTAGGTTCACAAACGAATTGTAAAACAAATCCCACTGCTGAGTTCATGTGTTGACGTTTACAACATGCATTTTTTCCCCTCCAGAAATCAAGCTCTAGTAATGTATGGATTTGAAGGTCTGTGCCTCGCTGCACAATATTAATAGCCCTCTTTATAAGGTCTGTCCTTTACTAGGTTTCCGAGGAACACGCCTATCTGCAACCCCAGGGTGTAAATTCCAACACTCCTGTGCTACCCTGAGCACAAACACAAGCACTAATCCCTGCCACAGTCAGACCGTGATTAATGAGACACCAGCACTGTGTCCTTGCTATTCCTTACCTCTGGGTTCAAGGCAGGGCACAGAACTCCACATCTTAATGCTATTTCTGTTCTTTTTTTTAAAAAGCTAAATAACTTTAAGCCTCTACTGAACGTATCGGTGCTCTCTGCCATTCCATCGGCTAATGCAGTTTTCATTTTGCTGGGTTCTGCCAGCTAGATATTGACACTTCACACCTCACTCTTCAGAAGCATCACCTTGAGCTTCAGATTACTGCCATGACAATTCCAAGGCACGGATTCACGGATCGTTATGAGAAGCGCGTCTTTCATCATCCTATTACCTTTCACATCAAGCTGAACCTTGCCACCTTCGGTGTGCAAAAGTCAATGTTTTTGAGGGAGAGGGGAATACTTGCTTGCTGGGACTAAAGAAGAAGTTAGAGGCTCAGACGCAAGAAGAATATGAATGGGAATTATTTGTTTCCCTAAATGATGAATCTCGATGGCCCCCGAATGTAATTACAGATTTATGAGAAGTGAGAAATCTCGCAGTGGCAGGGAAAGGAAGACGGGGGAACTGTGTTCCATTGTTAAACAGGTGATTTATGATGTTTTTGGAAGTCGCTGGCCCCCCCTGCCCCAAACCCCTCCCCGTCTCACAAAGCAAGCCAGTCTGGGATATCTCCGCAGCCTAGTTAATAGTCCATCTTTGTTTTCATTGTGCCCCAACAGGGCAAAGTTGAGAGAGCACCAGTGCCACTGCAACTACCCCCTCTGTGTCTTGTCGCTCCGCCAAGGGAGATCGAGAGACGTTATGGAAAAATCTTGGAATTTCCTAAATGTTTTCCAAAAGGTCACGCCGGTCAAGAGACCCGACACCACCGGCTTAAACTCCAGGAAGTACTGATGCCACAAAAAAAGTCAAACGCAACTTATCATTACAACACATCGACCCTTATGTGATGAAGCATCCCAACTTAAAACGCTTACAATCTTTTTAATGATTCAGCCGTTTTGTTTGAGGATCTACAGTCCTGGGTGGATTAAAGCTGCTGTTTGAACTTCAAGTTGAAACGGAAAAGATCCCTATAATTTCAGGCAGCCTGCCCAGCAAACATGTTCCTGAGGCCCTTTTGTACAACGCTAAGCACTTGACTTTTTGAACCTTCACAGACCTTAGTACGGAATTACGCATTCAAAGCAGGTAAATTCTCCCTTTAGACATATCAGAAATGCTCAGGCATTTTATTACAGTCGTCTGACATCCACCGGATAAGTATTTTGCTAATGGATGTGAGCCAGACGATGTTAACAGTAAGAAAAAGATGGAATTTCTATGCTTGAACGTTTCCAGAGATGACACTGAAACAAAACACAGAACAAGAAAGCCAAGCCAAAATAGCCAAAAAATCTTTAGAACACTTGGGGTCAGATTCAGCTGGATCAATTCTGTAGCAGCACGTGGTTGAACAGATACCACGTTTCACGTCTTAGGTGTCCTATAAGCGACACTGTCCCTACTTTAAAAAATAAAGTGGGAGAGATTTTATGCAGATACAAATCAAACTGTCAAGTCAAATGTTCAGAGAGAAAGCTATATATCTTATGATCCTTCAAAAAGGATAACCAAAACGGTCTTTTTAAACATCAGCCACTCAGGCAACCACGCACTGCCAAAAAAGGAGAATAAGTTAAAATAGATTCATCTATTAGTTTTGTGTTCTTTGTACAACTATTACAAATTACATGGAAAAAAATGCACGAGCAAACAGGCCCCCTGGTTACATACATACCAATGCTATTCTAATCATCTAAGTTATGCAAATAGAGAGAATTTATACCCAAAAAAAAGGTTCCAACAACAGCTGAGTAAACCTTCATGAAGAGTTTGCTACCTACGAGAGGTCTTTAAATCATCAGGAGAACAATGTGGAATGTGCCAGGGCCTGAGCCATCTGAAACCACACCCTTCTGAAAGCCAAACAAAAACAAGTTTAAAGTTTTTCTAGCAACTATCAAAACACTGTGAATAGACCAGAGGTCTAATCATCTCTCCAAAATCCACCCCAAATATTTGATCTTTGTTCTACCAAGTCAAATGCAAAATTCTCAAGAGCCTCTTACTAACAATGTACTCTAACCGATATGTAATATAATGTTTTCAGCATTAATACAACAACTTGAGTGTGTTTTACTCTATCCAAAGTGTCCACTTTCAGGGCTGCAGTACGTGAAAGGTCTCTGGATGCAGAAGAGTGTTCACAAGTCCTCACCACAACATTTCCACAGCACAGCACGTATTATGGAGTTGATGAATTATTCATACACTGTCTCACTATTTTCCGACATGCTCCTCTGGGCCTGAATTTGCACCACCTTTCCAGCATTTGAGACGGAGGAAACAAAACGCCAACCATTTACTTACCTGGAAATATAAACAAAAAAAAAGTTACGTGCTGTGGTCAAATCCGATTTAAATCCCAGTCCCTCCCTGTGTGAGACTGGGATTGAAGTGTGGGCGGTACAGGTAAAGATTATGAAAAACACAGTAAAGAGACATTAAGAGTCAAAAATCCCTGGTCTCAGGTCAAAGGAAGGTTGACACAGGCTGAAATGAAAACCACAAGATAAGCCACCGCACATGAAAGCGCACTTAAGAAACATATGGCTGCAGGACAGAGCTCAATCACTCACCCACAGAGGGAGCGATGAAGCATGGCACAGGATAGACATTTCTTCTGCAACGTTGTCTTGCATCATGCTATGAGCAGCAGAGAGATGGAGAATAAGGGACCAACTCATGCATTCCAGTACCACTGCGGGACATTGCAAACGCCTCCCTTTTACCAGTTCTGCATGAGGCGGCTGCAGAAGAGTAAAGGCTAAAGAGAAGCCATTTTTTCTGCCAATTGCCGATCGACGGTACGGGACCAGGGCACTACGGAAAAGTATGGCAGGCTGCTGCCTCACTCTCCCAGAGCCACACAGCTGGCATCAGGAGCCACACTTGACTGCCCCACGCCTTGCAGCAAGGAGCAATTACAAAACAACACTCGTCCCGGAGCAAACGAACTCGCTTTCTGTCTTGTAAAAGCTGCTCCAATTTAATCATGCAAGGTTTGTACGTACGAGATAGAAACAAGGCAGAAGCTGACAAATTGGCTCCGATGACTGCTCAAGTACTGGAACAGACATGGGATGGATTGTTCAGGTGAGATGGCGCATTTTGTCGACGCGTTCGGTGTTTTAACTGCAATGGAACACAACCAGCAATGGAGCCTTGTGCTTTGACTGACGGCTGATGAATGTCACAATGAGGGAACATGCTCTTTGTCCAAGCCAGACAGCAGGCGCTGCTTTTTAAATGCTTAACGAGCAAGGCAGGCAGAAGGGAGGGGGAAAAAAAAGAAATGCAATATGGAATTTCCTTGCAACCATTAAGTAATGAGGAGGAGGCAAGGGCCTTTTTAAGAACTGCTTCTAATATTTTTTAAATAGACTGGTTTGGCATACTAGTCCCACTTGACCCCGAGTATCAATGATAAAGGAAGCTGCTCCTGGTTTAACATTTCCTTTTTCGAAGAGTTCCAAGAGCTCTGGAAATAACTCAAAATACTTCGTGTGGAGAAATATCACAGGGGCTTCTCTGCTTTCAGCTTTCAGAAGCTCATCGGCTGAAGCCCATTTGGCAATGGTGCGATGAGGAACTCTGTGGCAGGACAATAAATGAACAGGCAGTTGTAATGGTGGAGTGCCACTCCAAATGCTTTGCCCGGGCTGTGAAGCGTCTGTCCATGCTGCTTGCTTAAGACAAGGTGAAGGGATGAGCGATGAGGCGAAGACGTCAAGGCACGATGCTCGCGGAGCGGGGCGAGAGCGAGCGGGTGGACACGACGCTGGCATGATCTGTCCCCCAGGGCGCGGGGGGGGGGGCGGCGCCCCGGGTCGCCGTGGAAACAGCCCTGCCGGGGTCGTGACGGCGCCAAAGCAGACAGGCTGCCAGGGCTGCGGGCAGCGGGGCGGGAGACACCGGCTCTCCTTTTACCTGCATCACCAGCTGCTGCCAGGCCAGAGGCTGGCTGCTGCCCACGGCACAGACGCCCAGCCGCTCGGGGGGCAAGTTGGCGCGCTCCAGCTGCAGGGAGACATTGCGGCGCTCCTCCTCGAGAGCGCGGGTCAGCCTCTCGAAACGGGCCTCCTGCTCTTTCACCGAGGCCAAAATGCTAGCGGCCGACCTCGCGTCGTAGTCGTCCATGTCTGTGCCCGAGAGACGAACGCCTGTCGACTGACCGCCAGAGTGAAAATGTAAAATAAACGAGCGAATAGATTAAAAAAAAAAAGAAAACAGGCATTCAGGTTCTGAGCCCACTGAGATTTTCGACATGACAGAGGAAACACGACACCTCATTGAGGGGTCCTTTAATTGCACTTCAGGGTTGCTCACCAGATTAGTCACACAATTAAATCCTGCACATTTCGCTGAAATATTCCACACTGGAGTGCTATGCTTACTAAGCAGAATTCCCAGCAGTCGAGAAAGCTGTCCTGGCCTCACTGTGTAGCTCTCTGACGTTATGGCTGTGCAAAATGCAACTTTTCTAACCACACAAAATCAATATGCATTACAGAGAATTACCCAAGCAAATAAGGTAGGGACCTTTATACACAGTAATATCTGCTGTGTTAGGTACCCACAATCAATAAAGGTCCAATATAATAGACAGCTGGAACTTCACTCAGTGAATCACATAGTTTATTTCAGGTTTTATAGTAAGAAAACAGCACTGGAAATAGAAAACATACGTCAATAAACTACCAAAAAATTACTTTCCATGCATAGAGGATGCATGGATCATGATACTGTATGTAGGCGTGTGACCTTCATCAGTGTATTACATACACGGTGTTAAACATCCTAATTTTCATGATAGATGCTTGAGGGATCTCCGAGGGAGTTATGATCATCAGGCAAAACAAGATAATCAGCCATTAATTATACAAAAGGTGGGGGGTGTATACACACCTAGTGGATTCGTGCAGAGAAAGGAGTTACAGCAGAGACATCCCTCCTCTCCCTGCAGGCAGAAAGCAGAGCAGGACAGCAGGGTGGCTAGGAGGGATAGAGAGCTGAAAGAGAGGAAGAGGAGAGACATTAGCGAGGGAGGGGCTGGAAAAGCGGCAAGACAGAAATGGGCATGGCGTTTGACAAAAGACAGAAGCAAGGCTTCCAAATTTGACCGCAACGAACAGAGGTTACAGGACCCCTCCCTCCCATTTATCAGTAGGCTAACGGTCTTTCTGGAAGACAGAGACAAACTTGGCAGTCCTGCGATACAGAGAGCACTGTCCTGGATAACATACTGTATGGGAACAATGCCTTCCAGGGTGCTTATGGAGAAATGTTAGAAAATGGTAGCTCCATTTCAGCTCTGCTGCAGTTACATGAAGGTTCTCCAGAATGAATCACAGGTCTGTAAGAAGAGCCCCCCTGTGAATAAACAGTGTGGCAGGTAATAGCCTTTTTCTTTCTTGCTACAGGAAGTGATGGGAGAAATTCTCTTTGAAGATCAGATCACATGCAGATCTGCTTTGATGTTTCTTGCCATTAATAATTGATCTTCAAATATTTCTTTTTCTGTCACTTACTTTGTGATCTTGAATGACACTGCCCACATAACACACAGAGAAGTGTCCAAGAGCTGGGCTATCCCTCTTTTCCAAAAGCTCTGGTAGTGGTACAGTGACATACCGGTACAAATATCAATACATTTTGCAGTATATGCCGAATAAAATCAATCCCATTTTGGCCAAGTTACATGAACACGTTAAACTTTTTCATTACACTTAAGTTTGAGCCAAGTTCTATCTTCATTATATGCACCATTAATACAATTTTATGCGCAATTCTTACAAGAAGCAAAGAATAGCTCATCATATTTGTGCCAGTTTCAAAAACCCAAGGGTATACAATTGGATACCAGTGAAAAAGACAGAATGATTGGAATAATTCCCATTCCCTCAAGAATGCAGCGAGCAAACATGGCTCTAGCTGTGTGAATTCTACCTCTTCACCTCTGAGAGCGTCTCTTCACTATGAAAAAGCTCTGTGAAGCCGAGGTGCAGCTCTCTGCGTTCCAAACTTGAGAATAAAAAAAAACAACAGATTTCTGGTAACTCCCTTTGCAGTTATCATTATGAGTAATTTGCTGGCATGTTCCTAAAATAGAAGCAACTCTATTCTAGGGTAGATTTGAAGAATTCCTTGTCCTCAAGTATGCCTCATTAAAGACGGCATTTAGCAGCTGTTTCCTAATGGCTCGGGACGAGGGCACGCCCCCTGTAACGTCCTGATCAAGGCTGTATTCAGAGTACGGAATGCACACAAGATCAAGAGGCCAAACAGTAATCCTTACAGTAGTACAGTACATTTGCTAAGGATTTCAAACAGCCCCGGAAACCAGGGAAAATAAAAAACATCTTTAAAGTATAAACAACCATCCTTGATACATCAAAGTACATTGTACAATGATTTGTATCTCTTTGTATCTGTTGCAATTTAGAGAAGCAGAGTGCATTACTGATACTATAGGCATAATACAGAAAAAATCACAGAACTGACATCACAGCCTTAAGGGAAAAAATACTTGGTACTGCAAGCCGTTGAATATGTTTTCTACAGTTCGACTTGTGAAGGCCATATGTAAAAATTTAAGTGAAAAGAGGAAGTGCGATGCAATTATTTACTGGTTTGAAGTTAAGTTTTCCCACAAGGAATGACAGACAGCATTCCTGTCTTTCCTTTAACACTCAGAACAAGGGTATGGCTGTGGTGGTGAGCAAGGAGGATTGAAACTGAACATGCAATTCATCAACTGCCTTGATTTTCCTGTTCATGTCCCTCAGCTGCTGTTTGTCAGCTATAGGATGACTTGTATAAACAGAACACTGGGCGCTATGGGATGCCCGAACACTGGCCTACATGATCCTTAAGGAATCTGATGAAATGGAGCTCAAAAACGACATAACATGCATTTAGAAGAAAAGCAAACTTTTTTGTTCTTCCATTACGATACTCATTACAGTACAATGGGGCTCCAGGTCCAAGTGGCTTGTAGCTATTAATGACAGTTCTTCTGTGGAAAATTTTGTGGATTTGGGTTTGTCCGAAAGTCTAAATTATATTAAAAATATCACTTCAGTACAGGCAGCCAGAATTAAAAATAACCAGGACATTGCAAGGCAAGACCTATACAAGGATGGTAATTTCTTTTAATAACAGATCACTTTCTTAAAATGTATCAATGGTCTATTTAGCAGATTTGGGGATTTCTGCCTTTATCATTCGATTATACGAAAAAGTATCTCCTTCGGATTTTATTTTCTTGAGAGAAATGACCGCAGCTCTTTGTCACTTCATTGTTGGCTGGTTCCATGATGTAAATCAGAACATTGAACAGTTCTCTCCGAAGGAGCACAAATACAAGCTAACAGGCTCTGACTTAGGACCAAATCTGAGGTGTGTTTGGAAGTCCAATATTAGCGATACTCCTGCTGCAAATTGGCTCTTGACAAAACACACTGGAGGCTTCTTTAAAAAAGCTCTCTGCTCAGATCTAAATCAGCAAAGTACTGTATGGTGGGAAAAAAAATTGCTTAACATTTAGGTGAGAAGAGAGGACGATAGGACTTCCCTTTGCTGATGAACTCAAAATAAGATTAATTAATTTCCCATTTCCCTACTCTGCAGTGGTGACTTAATTCCTTGTCTGAATTAGTTTCACCTGAAAACCCAAAAATCATAAGTCTTATGTGCAGACTAAACCTTGTGCAATTCCTATGATCCTTATATTTTATTCTGATGGATCAACAGCAGTTCCAATTTACAGCTGTGCTAGATGACTCATGTTAGATCCTGCATTTTCAGCCCTGCACAGATTTCCAGCTCACTTAAATAACCTTCCCGGAGAATTCTTCTGTCTCCAATGCCAAATATCCCCAACATTTCAGCATAATCAGACTGATTCAGGCACATGAATGACAAAAAAACACCACATTTCAGACACAAACCCTTTCCGATTGCATTGTAATACATGTTGGAGAAAGTCGCTCCATGCTTTTAACAAAGAAAAAAAAAGACTTCAATGGGAGATAACCGAGATTATAGAGCAAACAATTATAAACTACATTTCCAAGAGATCACAGTCAGGTACCACAGAGAACAGACAAGTGGTTATTGTGATGTTGGAGCTGCACAGAGCAGGCTGTCACTTTTAATAACTGTAGAAAACTGGGGGGTAGCAGCAATGGAGGAGGGGGCAGGGTGAAATGTGTTTTCTTATTTTTTCCGTTTTTGAGAAATTTCAAATTAATAAAAAAAAATAGTTCACAGAAAATACCAAGGAGGGTGTACAAGACATCAAAGTCTCAAAACTCTTAACAAAAGCTGTCCGACCATCTTAGCAGAATCGTGAAACAGATTAATACCCTGGGCCCACTTTGAAAATGTCTCTTGTTTCATTATATTAGACCATCGCTGTGGAGTCTGTCTTCTTCCAATTTCAAATTAAAGGGATATTTTTTTTATGCCTCGTTCCCAGAAGATATTTTCTGATTTCTTATTTTCTTTCTTCCTTGATGTATCTTTCAATGTTAGAAACACACCACGACAGCATTCTAGGCCTAAGAGTGCTACAGTACTTCAGGGACATCGGTGAGCTCCGGCAATATGGCACAGAGACAAAGAGCTCCAGAACCCTTCTGATCCCAGAATCAGGATCAGCTTTCAGATCCGTTACACTCCTCCAGTGCACAATCCTTTGTGAGGATTCTTATACTGGTCGAGGAAATTAATATTCCGCTAACGTTGATCACTCATGTAGGCGAAGCACGTTTGACGTTTATACTTTGTTAAAGCACTGTCTAGAATATAAGGAAGGCATCACTTTAAATGCAAACATCCTGATACAAAATGTACTTTTTATCATTCAAATGCCCCATGCAGAGGAATTCCAGGGGTGAACGTGTCTGTAATGCATGTAGCAACACCGAGGTACTGTCCATTAACAGCCTTTCTCAGCTTGTTGTTAATAAAATGACAAAATCTCATGTGCTCACGATTCCAAGTGGAAATCCTCAAGAAATACAAATTGTTGCCGTGGGCAAAATGCCCGGCTCATGCACTGCTAAGGAGTGGAGATAAATACAGAACCGAGATGTGTAAAAATAACCAAATGTGTGTGGCTTCATTATTCAAGGGACTCGAGCCCCTCTCTTCTGGCAGAAATACGCTTTTGTAAAAGTGTCATGCACTGGAAGGCACATTTGTAAAAATAAAATTGCTCTTTACCAGAAATTCAGACTAGAACACATGCAGCTAGAGTCACCTGAAGAAAGTTCCAGTTCCTCTCACTTTCTTTAATTTCATACTTTAGGGGGGAAAAAAGGTGGATCCCGAAATGACAATGTTGTTCTGTGAACTGTTAAAATAACGTGTAAAGTTCCCTAAGGAAATGGACTTGTTATTCAGACATCTTTATTGTTTTTACATTGGGACTGCAGTGGCATGCTCAATAGAAATGAACGTACTTAGCCTCACATGTGCACAGGAACTGCTGTGGATGCCTTACCTTCAGTGGTGATTATTGGTGGAATCTGAAGCAGGCAGGTAGGTTTCCTTTTAAAGCTGACAGGCTTCAGCACTGCGCCGGGGGTGACCTGTTCGACACAGCAGCTGCATAATCAAGACAAGAGACAAAAAAGAATGGTAACGCACAAAACTGAAATATGTGCGGCAATACACTTCCAGCTATGGCTCTCTCTCAGGCAAAACTATCACTGGAAAACAAACAAACTTCAGCAGCCTGTTTGGACAATCTTCTTCATCTTTCGGGACTTCCACTTGACAGGCCAGCAGCGAAAGAGCCAAGAACAGCACAAGGAGAGCTCTGTGCTGTAGGGGTCAAGAGTAGCTGACCAATGGACAGGCGAGGCTTCACCATCACAGTCAAAGCCACCGACATGAACTTTAGCCTGTGAACATAGCTAAATGCCCTCAGTCACCCATCCCAGCCGAGAGTACACGGATCATGAAGATGACGAACGAGAGAAGGCTAAGTGGCCCATCTCACTTATGACAGTTTGAAGCTAACTGATCCATGGATCTCATCCAGACGTTTCCTTAAAGAAGCTTCTGTCTAAACCGATACCGGGAGAAGTTCACTCCCCAGCTTCCCACATGTAAACTGATCGTGAGACACCGATGCAAGAAAAGAGCAACAGTATATACAGGAGGGTTAGCTAGCCCATGTTATCAAGACTTGGTCAAAAGTGAGTTTTGAACAGTTTATTAAGCACATTGGTCCCATTGAATGGCCAACAGTGGCCCCTGACAGTTAAGAAGTTTAGACAGCATTTTAAACTGATCTCATTTCAAAAGGCCCCTCCACTACTTCACTAAACAAATCACCTACCCCACTGATCAAAATGAAATGAGATCAAGTGTTTTGAAACGAAGGATTTAAGGTTGACCTACAAGACCTGCTGGATTGGGGGCTCTCCAGGATCAGGGCTTGTCACTGCTGGTATGCAGTCGTACCTCAAACATTTTGGCACAGTTCAAAACAGTCTGCATTGAACGTCATCCGCAAAACTGAAACAAGCTTCTATGGTTCTAAGAGGAATGCATTACTTAGTGTTTCATGCAGTCTTGTCTATTATCTCCAGTGGCATCAATGGTCATTGTGGCGTTAGCGTATTGTGCACTCTGTCATAAAACCTAACATTCAAACTTACAGATGACAGAGCGGAAATATATTGTTTTGCAAGGAGTACTCGGCTCTTTCACTTCAAGGTCACGGTGGGCTTTCAGCACTGTGGATTTCCGTGAACAACATCAAAGGTGAGCTTAGCCCGGGAGCATTAGTTATCAGTCCTGCCTCACTGTACAGTAGCAAGGGCTTCAAACACGGCATACAGATTAACCAACGCACAATTCAGAAGCGCACAAGATCTCAACGTCAACGCATATTTTACATTTCAGACTGTGAAAGGGGCTTTAAGACTAGAGAACATTCTGGAATTAAAAGCACTGAAGGCAGTATTGGTGGAATCCAGATATGAAAAATGACTTTAAAAGGACACCGTGTTTGTTGGTCTTTCAATGCTATCTGCTTTGCTGCTGCTCCTGCAGTGATTAAATGCGATATCTCCACTCCTAGCAGACTGCATACTACAAAATAGGTTAAAATAGAGAACTGAAACAATGAGATACAATTTATAATGAATGTAATAAAACCACCTCAAAGGACTCCTCTCTCAAAATGTCTGTCTTATTTGGACTTATTCCTCCACTGTCACCCAAACCGTAGCCCAATACAAATACAAACGATGCAGACGTTACTCTTTTCCTCTGCCAATTTCAACATCCCTCAGTGATACATGAACTGCACGAAAGTTTGGGGCAAGGTGCTGATCAGAGACTCAAAAGCAAAATCTTAATTAGGAGCTTAAAAGGGGCTGTGGACTCCTTCTCTTTCAAACCTGACACAGAGGTGTTGATGCCTTGTGCCCAGTGAACTCTACTGAGCAGCTGGGAAAGTATTGGGACCTGGCTGGTGGAACGATTATAGCACACAGGCAAAAAGTTGTGTAGGCTCAGCCTGTGACAGTGTAGCATGCACCACTTCTCTCATTATTCATGCTGAACTGCTTGCGAGATTTTAAACGATGCTGAAAGGAGGTGATTTAGCACTGCATCGGGCACAATTTGCTTTGATTGAGCCTATTGGATAGAAACCCATGGCATTACTGAAGGCCTGATGGGTGTTTTCACACACCTCTTAATGCAAATTCACACACTAGTGAATATGATTGGCAGTGTGCATGCTCATCCATTACCTGACTCAGAAATATGCAAATCTCTAACTTTACAAATGCATTCATATTGCAAGGAGCAGGAAGCTAGAGCTGGGAGACAAGGAAGAACAGCTCAGCTCAACTGATCTTGAGGCCGTTGAGGAGTTATCAAGAGTAATTACAGCCTGTCACTACCAACCCTAGTTACACAGGTCTTTGGGGAGCCTTGCGCCTGTTTTTCATTAACAGGGCTTTCCCTGACAAAAGTCACCTTCACAAATCATCTGTACTTCACTCAGCAATCTGGCTGATAAGGTCTTCATACTATCCAGTGAAGGCACACGAGAGAGAGGCCCTAACAAGGCAGCAGGTCACGAAAATACAGCAGCCACTGATTTTCCTTCTCTTACATGTTTTTTTGTAAGGAGTGGTGATAAGAACTAAAAGAATCATGTCAAACTACATTACAAACTTCAAATAAAGGTGATCCTTAACCTGTTCTTATAAATACTGGTGGTGCCTCAGAAATACAATGAAGGATCCATCTAGTGCCTAGGTAATGTATTCACAGTTCTTCTCTCACTGAAATCAAACCCCAGGCACACAGCACTGAAAGTGCCTTCCTGCAGCACCGTGACTTCTGTACAACGGAGCTCCTGATTGAGTGTGCCCTGCTGCAGTCACAGACCGTCATCATTAAACTTCACAAGTCTACCGCGTCAACTGGAGCTCACTTTAGGGCTGCCCCCAAGCACGAAGCCCACTTCCAACCCTCACAGCGACCCCCCCATGTAACTCCCCAAAAGGCCCCTTCGAGCTCCGACATGCAAGGTAAAGGCGTAGTGTGAAGGACACCGGAGCTTGCAAAAAGAAAAAAAAAATTCTCTTTAAGCAGCACAGGAGCAAGGGACGCACGCACGCAGATCATGGATGGCAGGAACAGCCAGATGTAAGTCAGGCTCTTGCAGCGGGTTCCCTTAGGAAGCTGAGAGAGAAGCACCTCCATGGACACAGGGCAGAAGATCAGTGGATAAGAGCTGTATCACAATGATGACTTCATTTATTGCTCAGGCGTCAATAAATACACTGCTGGTTATGCCAACCAACCCAAATAATACAACGCTTTTCATCTGCCATTTCCACTAGATGAAAGCTAGAAGTTCATTTTGTCATCCTTAAAAAATTACAAAGTCCTTCTCTTCTTACAACTTATGTTAATTCACTACCGTTCAAAAGGTACTGTGATTGTCTCTTGAGAAAGTTGAAGAAAAATTTGCTCGATGTGTAAAGGTCACCTATACAATGACTTTGATGGGGTTTCTTTCAAAATCGTCATCGACTCCAGAATTAAGCTCTAATGATATCCTGGATTCTAGGACCGAGTTTACAGAAGTCCAGAGAATGCCGTTAAGTTGAAGAATCTGTGGAGGAACAAGAAGACAGCCTGTCTCTATAGTTACACAGGAGCAGGGGCGTGGAGAATGGCAGATGAAAGATGAAAGCAATCAGAAATAATAATTGTGCATTGATGGGCAACCGTCATTGTCACGAATCTCAGGAAACCTTAAATCATTTACAGACTGGTGAAAACAGCTCGATGTTACAATACACAGAATAGGCCCGATTTGCCAGTGTTGCCTTTGAATTTTGTCTTTGTATTGTCATGCTTTTGCAAACCTGAACATCACTCAACATCTTCTTCGCCGTAACCTTTACTTTCACAAAAGTTCCTACGAAACCAAAACAGAACATTGACAAATCACATTGATTATTCCTTTTCATGCATGTTCTGGCGTGCAGTAGTTTTTAAAGCAGAATTCAACAAGAACATGACGTTTTTATTTGGAAGAATACTTGTTGGTTGACTAGATTGTTCTCTGTTGAAAATTCAACAATTAAGCAAAGTAACTTTTTGAAACTCAGAGAAAACTGGTGTCTTTTTTGACAAAACCAGGGAACTTACACGGTCAAGCTGTTGTGGAATATAGGTTTAAATAATTGAGGCCCGGAGAAATTGTTAGGTGACAAGTAGACTAAATCACCTCTTCAGTGATGCAACGCCCACCACTCAGAAAGCTTCATCCTTGACTTCAAATTTAAATTACAAAGGACATTTCTGTCTGAATTCCGCTTCAGATACCTCATTGTGTCCTGGCAGATGACACACATTAACATCTCACTAATGCACAGGAAATATTTAAATTTGACAATACAGCAACTGAGAAAAGACTGACAGTGTATTTAACAATACCAAGAAGTCTTAAGTTGCATTGTTGTTCATTGCAGTGAAGGAAAACAGTAAGCAGACTTTGTACTTAATATTCAAGATTTTATCATTTACTTTATTCTTATTCAGAAAAATCACTCAGAGGATGAAATGAAAAGGCCTTGGACAAAAAACTGCTGCAAAAAAGCTTCATATGATTTGTGTAAGGCACAGAAATACACAGGTGTACCTCAAGGATCCATTTAGGGGAAGGGAGGTGAAAATAAGATTACATTATACGCTGCAGCATGTTGGGATGGTTACTGTGACTAAAATCAGCAGAAGAATGGAAGTTCTGACTTGTGTTAAATTGAAATGGCAAACTTGCATATAAAAGGAAACTTTGCTGCATCCACAAGGGAGGATATTGTTAAGCACAGCGCAAGTAAAGTATTTTCAGCCATTAATTGAAATACATTCAGAGAACTAGTGACACCTCTTCACACAAATGGTTGTATTAGTCAAGAACAAACTTCCCAGCCAGGTTGTTGAAGCCGATACCCTGGCTTCCTTCAAGAAACAGCTGAAAGAGATCCTCAGATTTATTAGTTACTCATGACTAATGAAGGGCCAAATATCCTTTCTTATTTTACCAACCTTAAATTCTTAAA